AACTGTTCGGAGGAAAATACAAGAAACGGCCGCCGGAAGCCACCCAATTAGTAAAATAAGAGACTTAGAATCATGTCCATAAAAAGCATGGTACAACTGTGTAATAATTGCACCACTTAGGCCAACAAGTCCCTTGAGAAGCCCTATAACTATTCCTCGACTCTCCGGGAAATTCTTAACACAAGTAACCAGTGCCCCAGTATTGGAAAATGTTTGTGAATTTGCACCAATACATATATATAGACACATCTGCCACACATGGGGTTTGGCCGTCCGGCCAGTGATGGCCAACCATATCATGAAGTAGCCGAAAAAGTTCATGATTACACCAAATGAAAGAACAACCCAAGGTGGTGTAATTTCATTGATAAGGCCAGACATGATTCCTATATTTCCGCCGACGTCTTTGAAGAATCCTATGAGGTTTAAGGTTGTCTGGTCATATCCTAGGGACGATTTGATGTCGCCGGAGTAGAGTCCGAACATGTAAGTTGCACCTGACATGGACATGATTAAGAGGGAGGCAAAAATCATAAACCACCGGCCGGTGAGCACTTGGTAGATAAAGCTTCTCATGGCCCTCCAGCCACCGTCTCTACTACTGACTTCACCGGCAGCCATGCTGTGTTTTGTTTTTCTTGATACTTCTTCCACGGACACCGTGACAGAATTGGATGTCCTATATAACGATTGGAGGTGTGAATCCGTGACCAATTAAAGAGCTGTATGGGGTGCCAGTTCAAAACAAAAATCTGAGTCTAGATTTTACAGTATTGTTGACTATCTTCTCACTTGAGTCATATTGTCTTCTCATTCTTCAAGGAAAAAGAGTTTTAAATAATATTTTTAGAATAATGTGTATTTAAAAAGTTAGAATAAAATTTAAGTTTACGTGTAAAATATTTTATTGTATGAATATGTAATTAAAAATAAGTATGTAAAAAAAAATTTTAAAATATGGGAATTTCATTGTCTTGTTATTTTAAAAAATTTAGAAATTATTTTTGTATTTGTTTGGATAATTTTAAGAGATAATTTTTCTGTCTAGAAGTCATTTTAGAAGAAGCCAATTAAGGCGAATTTCTTGAAAAATTCTTCTTCAAAGAACGTAAGTAAGAACAAAAATCCAACCAAATGGGCTTTTATGAAGATTTATCAAATCCAAGTCCGAGAAGCCCGTTTCGATATTAATCCCTAAAAACTCTCCAAAAAATGAATGTTCGTACCCAACGGGGAAGTATTTTCGGATGATGCAATCTAGACCTCGGTTTCTTAGTTTCTAGTATTTTTGGACTAAAATTTGACTTATCCATAAGCGTCGAACCAATAGGCTTGCAAGTTATTTGGTCAATCGTAAACCAATAGACTAGCATTGTTTATTTCAAGGCGGGAAGAGAAATAATCTATAACCTAATTATCAAATTAAGCAAGTTGTCACAAAATTCCATGTACTCGCGTGCAATTGCGACTTGCCTGTTGAAATTAAGAGCAAGTTGTAAAAAATTCCAAGCACTCGTTCACGTGCAATTGCGACTTTCCTGTTGCATTATATATATATATATATACAGAAATGATCTAATGAGCACCGGTGCTCATCTCATCCTAAGCACCGATGAGTTGGCACATTAATTCATTGGTGGA